GTAAGAAGGCAGAGCGTCCGAGGAAATGAGCCAGAATTGCTTGGTGGGCTCAGTCTGCATCTGGGTCAGGTCTGGCTGAGCCCACTCAGCCCCCCAACTCTGTGGATACAATCTGGGGGGACCTGGACAGGATGAGGGTGAGAGGTCTCCAGAATGGCTTTCTAAGTGGAGGGAGGAGCCTGTCTGCCATACTGTCTCTTGGACAACATTGGCAGATTCCATCTCCAAGGGCAGAATCAGAGGTTACTGATATGGGCACTTCGGAAGAGAACCAAGGATCTTCCCAGCTATGCTGACCTGGCAGCCTGCACAGGGGTCACGCAGCCCAGGAAGGGGGGGCCCATGGAAGAAGGCGGAGAAGAGAAGCCCTCAGCCCAGCAGGATCCGCCCGGCTCCTGCCCACTCACTCAGCAGGCATTCTCTCCTTTATCCTCTCAGTTTCCTAGGACCTGGGCATATCTTGGTCCCATTTTACAGATGCAGAAGCCAAGGCACAAAGAGGTTAAGTCACTTGCTCAAGGTCACACAATATGCAAGGGGCAGAGCCCAGCCAAATAACTGACCCAAGGCCACCAGGAAGTGGCCATCAGGGACTCTGACCCCAGGCAGTACTCTAGATACAGGGGCCAGGCAAACTTACCCCTTTCCAATCTCTTCCTGACGCAAATATTCCCTGGCAAGGGGGTAGGGCGAGGCCCTCTCCTTGACCCCAGAAGCCCTGATGCTAGCATTCCCCGCCGCCAGCATGATGACTAAAGAGAGGCAGGGCCCCAGCACTCTGTTTTCACTGCTCCCCTTCCTGGAAGTCCTTTATTGCATCTAAATCAGATCACACCACACCTGCTGCAGGTACCTGCTGGTCCAGTCTTTGTTCTCAACCTAGAACACTGCACCCCAGGCAGTTTCAGGGCCCAAACTGCACCCCAGACCACAGGCCTTGCCTGTGGAGTTGGAGAGTGGGCAGGGGCTGAGGGAGCTCAGGGTGCAATCAGGAAGCCCCGTGTCCCTAAGACCCACAACCCCAGTTGGGCGAGGCCCTCTCCTTGACCCCAGAAGCCCTGATGCTGGCATTCCGGCATTCCCCGCCGCCAGCATGATGACTAAAGAGAAGCAGGGCCCCAGCACTCTGCTTTCCCACCCCCTTTCCTGCATGCCCTTTATTGCATCTAAATCAGGTCACACCACACCTGCTGCAGGTACCTGCTGGCCCAGTCTTTGCTCTCAGCCTAGAACACTGCACCCCAGGCAGTTGCAGGGCCCAAACGGCACCCCAGACCACAGGCCTCACCAGTGGCCTCTTCTGGAGTTGGAGAGCGGGCAGGGGCTGAGGGAGCTCAGGGTGCAATCAGAAAGCCCCGTGTCCCTAAGACCCACAACCCCAGTTCGCCAGGCTCCTGGTTCTCCCTCCTCCCCTCCATCACTCTCCTGTGCTCAGCATAGACTGGGAAGCACCTGGGGAAGGGCAAGGATGAGCTTTGGAGAAAGGCTGCTTCCTGTCTCATCGGGCCTGGCTACTCACCAGCTGTGTAATACTGGGCTCTGGACTTCTCTGCATGTCAGTTGCCCCACCTGGAAAGTGAAAGTGGGTATGAGCATTGGCAATGATTGTAAAGCATGAGGACCTGGAAGGTGCCCCCATTAAGAGTCCCTCCTCTGAGCTGCACCCTGTTCAGGAAGCTGGGATATGGGCCAAGAAGAAGGGGATGGGCATGCTGTTCTCACAGAGCTCACAGCCCTGGGCAGTGGGGGAGACAAGCTGTTGCAGAAGGGCGGTTACAGTGCTTCATGATGTGGGATGTGACAGACAAGTGCTCATAGGCTGTGGAAGCCCTAGGGAGGGGCGTGTCTGATGGACCGGGGTATCAGGGGAGGCTTCATGGAGGAGGTGACAGTGGAACTGGGCCTTGAATGGTGAACAGGACTTTGTAGAGCAGAGGAAGGCAACAATCATCCCGTAAAAGGCTCAAGGATGGGAAAGAACCTGACCTGTCCAGGAAGGGTGCTGGCATTCATTCCTTTATTTCACTTTGTAAATATTTACTGAGCACCTACTACATGGCAGGCACTGTGCTGGGTACTTTACACATTTAATTCGATTTAGTCTTCACAGTGCCCCTGCCCTCACCCAGTTTTATAGATGAGGGGACTGCATTCAGGGATTACATGACTCAGGGTGGGTGAGGCAGTAAGTTATCCACCAGGATTCAAATCTAAGTTTGGCTCCAAAGAGGCCTATCTGAAGGACATGGATCATTTGGGATTTACACGTTCTAGACCAGTAAGAAACAGTCGTGGTATTTAACATGGGAACCTCCTCGAACCTGTGTAGCACCCTCAGGGCTCAGGCTCAGCACAACATCTCATTCAAAGAACCACAGTCAGACACCCCACACCATTCAAAGCTTTCTTTGTGACTCTTAAAAAATATTGAATGGGGCCCAATTTGTAACTCAGGGCACCCCTTCTAAAGAATCCTCTTTCCTCCCCAGTTCTCCCCGTGGCTGCTCTAAAGCTTCTAGTGGCCCCTCCATCCCCATGACCCCACCCCTCCTTCCTCCCAACCCATTCAGTCCCCTTTCTGTTTTCTCTCAGCCCTCTAGCCCAGCGGTTCTCAACCTGTGGGTCGCGACCCCTTTGGGGGTCGAACGACCCTTTCACAGGGGTCGCCTAAGACCATCGGAAAACACATATATAATTACATATTGTTTTTGTGATTAATCACTATGCTTTAATTATGTTCAATTTGTAACAATGGAAATACATCCTGCATATCAGATATTTACATGACGATTCATAACAGTAGCAAAATTACAGTGATGAAGTAGCAACGAAAATATTTTTATGGTTGGGGGTCACCACAACATGAGGAACTGTATTAAAGGGCCGCGGCATTAGGAAGGTTGAGAACCACTGCTCGAGCCCATTTTGCAGATTCAGCATCACATAAGTCAAGGACCTGGTGAAGACAGGTCGAGTGGCAGATTAGGGGAAGAAGGTGGGGAGGGGAACATGTTGGTCCTGACGCCCTAAATTCAGCCCCTATCACCACGTCGGATCCGCTCACACCACTACTGAGGCTGAGCCCTCGCTTTCACACTGTCCTGGACACAACGTTGGTGGTTTCTTCCCTGTCAAGTCTCTCCCGGTGTTTCCTGTGGCCTGGTGCCCACTGGAGGCCCAGCTGGGATGGTTGGAGGGCGGATGCTCAGCATTATTTGCTCTGGTCCCCATCTGTCACAGGGATGGCCCTGGGCTCCTCCCAGGAGAAAGCCCTGCACAAGTGCCCCTTGTACCCCGATGTCCTTCAGACACCCCAAATTCATGTGCAAACCAAACACATCTCTTTTGAGGCCTCAGTATCCTCATCTACAAGATAATACTGCACCTAAGATTGGTGTGGGGATTAAATGAGAAAATATATGTGCCTGGCAAGTTTTTAATGTTCAACAAATTTCAGCTGCTCTTGCAATTCTTCCCCCACTCCCCAATCTCCTCTGCAGCTAGATTGTAAGCTCCTTAAGGACAGAGCGGTCTCGTCTTTCATCCCCAGTGGAAGGTAGTCTGTGCTTATCAATGCTGGATGGATTGATGAAAATATGCATGAATTAGGCCCCGAAGAATTTCAAGTTTACTCTTCCCAAGAGGGCTGATATTGTTAAGGGGCCGGTTCCCAGGGCCTTTGCCCTGTATTATCAACATCACTCATCCAAGCACCACTCCCCAGCTCAGGGACGCCCCCAGGAAGCCTGGGGTGGGCACCAGGGGTAGGAGGAGAAGACTGGGTTGGATAAGTTGCCCTTGGCAATGCTCCACCCCAGGATGGACTGAACCTTAAGTCCAAGTTCACCCCGCATCTGGGTGCTCATTGCCTGCAGCTGCCTTCCCCAATCAGCATTCGGGCCAGGAGTGAAGCAGGAGGAGGGAGGAGGCGGGGAGTGTGGGTGGCCCCAGGTGAGATTCAGGAAATGAGCTCCACCCTCTGGTCTGACCCTGCCAGTAGCCAGGCTTTGCTGAGGCTACCAGGACAGAGAACCCCCAGAGAAGGCAGCTGGGGGATCCAGCAGCTCCCCCGCCTGCTCCTTATCCACCTCCTGTTGTCAGTCAGCCTGCGGGAGATAAGCCAGGGCTGAGAGCCTTCTGGGCCTGAGCCACAAAGGAGAACATAATTAAAAAGACACTGCTGGCTTGGCCGAGGGGGTGGGACGTGAGGATCCTGGTGGGACGTGAGGAGGGCCTGGAGGGAAGAGTTCGGAATTAGAGAAAAGACAGAGTAGTCAGCACTCAATGAACAGCCTTGCAAATAGGCTACCAGCCCATGGTAGCTTCACCTGGCTCAGAGACGAAAACCCAGAGAGAGCCTGCCCTCCAACGGATATTCCACGCCCTTTGTTTGACTTCACTTCCCACTCTCACCCCCCACCCCCCCTCACGGGGCAGTGGTCATCCAGGAGGGTCTCAGGAGCCCAACAGAGAATGGAACATCGCCCTAAGAAGTGCTCGGAAGTCTTTCCTGTTGGAATGAGGACGGACATCCATTCTTTTATTCATTTAAGCAGCACTGAGGACACAGTGGGTAGATTGACTGAAGTCAGAGGAGGAAGGGCTTGATGAGCTATTCCATCCCCTCCTTTGGCAAAGGAACCATCTGCAGCTCAGAGGCTCTGGGGCTGACAGAGGGTGGGTCAGGCCCGGAGGGCATTGTCTGCCGGGAGAACTCCAGGACGGACGGGGCTCCAATGGGCTCCAGCCCCACCTGTGCACCAGCCCACCTAGCAAATCCAGGCGGGTCCCCTGTCTTCAGGCCTCAGTTTCTCCACTGTGAAAAGGGAAGAAACGGAACCACCACTTCTCTGCTAGTTCAGCGTTATCGGGGGTCACCAACGGGAAAGTGCTTGGGGAAAGGGAAGAGAATGGGGGGCCCACTGCCTGGGGGGTCTAACGTGAGAGAACTGGGCTGGTAGGGGGATGAGGGCCACTCTCACTTCCTGTCTCCCGCAGGCCCTGAAGGCTGAGTAGCCAGCGGGATGCCCGGTCTGCTGAACCAGATGACAGGGGCAGCCCTGCCCCTCACTGCTTCTGATGTCACCTCCTTCGTCAGTGGTTATGCCCTGGGTCTGACTGCATCCCTCACCTATGGCAACCTGGAAGCCCAGTCTTTCCAGGGTAAGGACCCCTCCTCCATATTGAATCCCCACCCCACCAGGGTAGCCGGTGGACACTGGGCAAGGCCTGGACCTTCTCCGAGTCTCGGTTTCCTCACCTGTACAATGGGGATACCATTTCCGCCCAGCAGGCCTCAAAGCTGGTAGCAAGTCCGGTCAGGGTTTGAGCCCAGGTTTAGCCCAGCCCTGCCAGCTGGCCCAGCGCTATTTAGGTCCCACAAGGCACGCCCCCCTGCGTCAAAGGGCCCGCCTCCACTTCCTCCGGGAGCCTCACGGTGGGAGGGGCCTGGAGACTCCGTGGGAGCCAGGAGTTGCCAGCCCCAGGTGTGGCTCTGGTCCCTGTGACTCTGGAGAAGCCACTGTCTTCTCAGAAGCAGCATGCCCCTCTGCCTGTCCGGTGGGGCGTGGGGAGGAGCAGATGAGGTCTGGAGTGCAGAAGAACAGTGTGGAATAAAGCAGCCTGCGAATATGAATCATTGGGTGGGGCAGCCAGCACTGTGTCATTTGTAAGTCAAACTCCTCTCTTTCCACTGAAGGAAGGGAGTTACCGGGAGGGCGCTATGACGACTTGCCGGGGGTAGGATTCCCTCTCACCCACAGTTGGTCCCCTCCGAAATCCCCTGGGCAGACAATGACCCTGTGGAAGGAAGCCCAGAGAGGGTGGCTTAAAATGGGACGCACTGGGGACCCAGGAGACTAAATGACGAATAACTCGGGGACAGCCCCTTGGCTTTCTACATGTAAAAAGGCCCAGTCCCCATTTTATAGATGAGAAAACTGAGGCGAGGGGGATGGGAAGCAGGCGTTTGTGAAGGGCTCACTGGGGGCCCAGCATTGTGCTGCCCCCATGTTGGTGGGCAGATTAAATGAGATACAGCCTTGATCCTCCCTGTGGTCCCCGCACCATCGAGCCATCCACTTCACTCAGGGGCTGCTTAGAAATGCAGATCTAGGCCCCACCCCAGAACTCCTGAGTCAAAATCTGCATTTTAACAAGACACACCCCCTTACCCGTGATCTGTGTGCTCTTAAAGGCTGAGAAGCACTAAGGTATAAACATGTGGGCACATAGCTTATTTTTTCCATTTTCATGATGACCCTATGAGTGGGGCTCTATTATCCCCAGTTTACAGATGGGGCTGTGAGGCTTAGAGAAACTAAACATCTTGTCCAAGGTCACCAGGCTAAGAGAGGGGGCAGGGCCCAGATTCAAACCCTAGTTTACTGCCTCCAACGCCCCAGCTCCTGGGAGCCACGGACAGCAAATTCACCACGCACATGTGTTTTATTTGGCCCACACAACAGGTCACATCAAATCCAGAATTTTACTTTCTCTCGAAAAGTCAGGGGCCCTGGCCACACTGGCCTCACGTGCCTGCAGAGTAAGCGTTGGCTGGGACAGGGGGGCTGCTGTCCTTTTCCCAGTAGCCCCTGTGCTCACAGAGTGCCCGGCCTCAGTGCAGAGCCCTCAGGTCCCAGCCCAAGTCCTCTCTGGCAGCCTCTAAATCAGAGGTTCTCAACCTGTGGGTCGCGACCCCTTTGGCGGTCGAATGACCCTTTCACAGGGGTCGCCTAAGACCATCCTGCATATCAGATATTTACATTACGATTCATAACAGTAGCAACATTACAGTTATGAAGTAGCACCGAAAATAATTTTATGGTTGGATCACAACATGAAGAACTGTATTTAAAGGGCCAGAAGGTTGAGAACCACTGCATGGCAGTGAGTACCAACCTAGGCTTGGGTTCCTTCCCAGGGGTGGGGTGTGCAGGGTGGGGCCGGGGCACCCCGTGATGCTCGGTCCTACTCCGACAGGCCTCTTCGTGTACCCGCTGGATGAGTACACCACGGTGATCGGCTTTGAGGCGGTCATTGCTGACCGGGTTATAACGGTACAGATCAAGGACAAAGCCAAGATGGAGAGTGGCCACTTCAATGCCACCCACCTTCGAGCCACAACTGTCACAGGTAAGGAGGCCAGAAGGGCTCTGGCAGGATCTGGGCCTGGCTGAAGTCTCGGGCAGGCTGAAAGGGTAGCGATGGTGTAGGGTAGAGAGCATGACAGTAGGAGTCAGGAATCCTGTGTGTCACTGGCCCTCTCTGAACCTCACCTTACTGTCTGTAAACAGAGGCAACCTCTCCTCTTCTCATCTAGGAAGCATGGTGAGGATCAGAGGGTTCAACCACAGGTTCTAAGGCTCTCTCTGCAGAACAGAACAGCATGTCATTTAAGCTCAGAGGTTGTGGAATGAGTCACACCAGGGTCTGACTCCCTATTCTGGTCCATGCAAGTGGTGTGAGCTCAGAAAAAATATTAAAATTATCCGTAAAATGAAGCTAATAGTTATACACACCAAAGCTCAACAGAGAGCATCTATGCAGAGCACGCACCACAGTCCCTGGTACAGACTAAGTACTCAAATTGCTATTGAGGATGAAGAGGCTCAGAGAGGGTCAGTGACTGGTCCACGGTCACACAGCATGATATATATATATTGTTGTTGTTGACAGTATTATAGATGTCTCCCATTCTTCCCTCCTTTGCTCCCCTCCACATGTTTGAGACAGGGCTTGAATCCAGACCAAGTATCACATGATGTAAGAGATCCTCACCATTGGATCTATGATTGAAGTGATGTTTGTTCATCTGATCATTGGGACATTCAAGAATATTTTAATGAGCACTTACCATGTGTAAGCTGCAAAGTTGCCCTCAGGCTGATACGACCACTCACAGCCTGGAAGAATAGCTAGGCTGTGCCTAGCAGTGACCATGAGAGCAGGTGGAAAGTGGCTGTGCCCAAAGAGGTCTGGATAATGTCAGAGGAGGGAAAGAGGGGTACAGATTGGGGCCTGGGAGGTATTCATGGAGAGGTTCCTGAAGGGATTGGATAGAAGGGTAAGACTGGATAAGTAGGGGTGGGGGGATGGGCCTTACAGATAAAAGGACGGAGCAAAAGCATGGATCCCAGGGTGGGGCATGCTTGAATGTGGTTCCTGTGGGGAGGTAGAGTCTGCGGATGGAGACGTGACCCTCTGTTGGGGTTTTGTGGGTCCAAGTCTCCCAATCCCAGCAGGCCTGGCATCAGGCCCATGCAGGTTCAAATCCTGGTTCAACGAGTTAGTCATTTGCTGAGGAACTTGGCCGAGTCACCCCTATGCTGAGCTGTTTCCCATCAGCAAAATGGGCGACTCAGACCTACCGCCCAGCAAGCGTAGGGGGCACTAGCCATGATGTACGGGCGGCTGACTCCAGGCCTGGCGCTTAGGAAACATCCTGCGAGAGGGGGTTTCCGTGGTCCCACCTTCCTGCACGCTGGGAAAGGTGGCTTTGGACGAGGATTTGGAGCGGATCCTCTTTGTGGTCAACCTGGGGACCATCACCCCGATGGAGAACGTCAAGGTCTTCATCAGCACCTCCTCAGAGCTCCCGACGCTGCCCAGCGGGGCCATGCGGGTCCTGCTGCCTGCTGTCTGCGCCCCGACCGTGCCCCAGTTCTGCACAGAGAGCGGTGACCCCTCCAGCCAACAGGCCCACGGGTAAGGAGCCCCTGGCCGGACAAGGGGACAAGGGTCAGCGTCTCAGGTGGGCAGTGGGGGGTCTGTCAGGTGAAGTCAGGGTGTGCAGGGCGGTGGAGATGGAGTTGAAGGTGAGGCTCGGCGCTGGAGGCCACCCCCTGAACAACGGCGCCTGCCCCTCTCACTTTTAGAGCATTGGGGTCTCCCTGATGCCTTGGAATGCTACTGGCCAGATGTTCTGGAATTTGGACACCTTGGGATTAGAATTTCCAGGCTTTATTCTTTCATGCACTTAGGACACTGAGTTGAGTGTTAGGGATCCAAAATCACCACAGATCCTGCCTTTTTAGAACTTGGTGGGAGAGATCATTATCCAATGAATAACACCCCTAATGTGGACCCACTGGTGCACTTGCATGCATAATTAATTATGTGAAAAGTATAATGAAAGAGACATTCATTAAGCTAAGAGTATAAAAGAGGGACCTGCCCTAGCTGGTTTGGCTCAGTGGATAGAGCATCAATCTGTGGACTGAAGGGTCCCAAGTCCAATTCTGATCAAGGGCGTGTACCTCGGTTACAGGCTCCTCTCTGGCCCGGACCCTGGTTGGGGCACGTGCAGGAAGCAACCAATTGATGTGTTTCTCTCATATCAATAGTTCTCTCTGTCTTTCCCTCTCTCTTCCACTCTCTCTAAAAATCAATGGAAAAATATCCTCAGGTGAGGATGATAGATGATAGATAGATAGATAGATAGATAGATGATAGATAGATAGATGATAGATAGATAAAAGAGGGACCCAACCCAGAGGTCCTGGGCCAGGCCAAGCTTCTCTGAGGAGTGATATTTCAGCTGAGACCAGGGGGGTGAGGGGGATGTAGGCACAGATCTAGCACTCCTGCAGGGAGAACAGCAGAGGCAAAGGCCCTGAGGCAGCAGGCTTGGTGTGTGCAAGGAGCGGCAGGCAGGCCAGTATAGCTATAGCAGGTGGGAGAATGAAGGAGAGAGGTCAGAGGGCTGACGTGGAGTCAGATCGTGTAGGACCTTGAAGCCGAGGGTGAGGACACTTTTGCCACAGCAGAGAAGCTGTAGGCACAAGCCAGTCTCAGCCCAGGGGACACCAGGTTGCATGTTACCTTTGTAAGTACTGCCATAGGCGCCAAGCTTGGTGCCTTTGAGAGGCAGGACCTGGTGGAGCTGGGGACAGCCAGGACTTTGGCAGATCAAGGGACAAGAGGCCCCTGAGGTGGCCCCGGAAAGCAGGTTCCTGCCCATCCCAGCAGGCAGAGTTAGCAGAGGTGCTCGTGGGAGAGGCCTGCATCAAATCCCGATGAGCCTCAAAGTTGCCCAGAGAGAGAAAAATAGATAATACCCAGTGTTGGCGAGGATGAGGCTAGGAGACGTGTTCAGTGCTGGTGAAGGTGGAATCTGGGGCAGCACCACGGAGAGCAGTCTTGGAACACTCCGTGTGTGCCCTTTGACCCAGGGATCCCAGAGAAATCCTTTCATAAGTTCAAAAAGGCGACACAGATGAGGGTCTTCATGGTGGTGGTGCCCATGGACATGAGGTGGAGGCAGGAGCAAATAAGTACAATATAAAGTACTTACACAATATAATGACAGGTACCATGTCAGCAGCAATGACTTTGGTTTACAGACTTGGACAGAGCTTAGACACAGTGTTGAGTGAAAAAAAGGGAAGTAATGGCCTGGCTGGTCTGGCTCAGGGGGTTGAACGTCGTACCCTGGACCAGAAGGTCCCTGGTTTGATTCCTGGTCAGGGCACATGCCTGGTTTGCTGGCTCGATTACCAGTAGGGGGTGTGCAGGATGCAGCTGATGGATGTGTCTCTCTCATTGATGTTTCTATCTCTCCCTTTCCCTTCCTCTCTATCTAAAAATCAATAAAAACATATATTTTTTAATTAAATAATAAGGGAAGTAATGAGTGAGATTCATAATAGAATATAATCTTTTCAGTTTAAAGTGCATTCACAACCAAACGCCACCACGGATATGTGCTGTTAAGGACATTCATCAAAGACAGAGGGTGTGCCCATGGGGAGGGCAGGAGAGGGACCAGGATCACAGACAGGGTGAGAGACAACACAGAAAGAGAGCCAGAAACGTCAGCGCTCAGCAGGGGACAGACACTCATGAAAAACAACTATGTCATTATTATCCCCATTTAATGGATGAGAAAACCAAGGCTTATTCGAGGGCTCCCAGCTCCCAGACACAGAGCAGGGATTTGAGAAGGGTTGTGATATAGTTGAACGGGAGCCAGACAGACTGGGTGAGCATGCTCACTCTGCCAAGTCCCGACTGTGGGAATGTTGGGGCTAGTTGCCTCATCTTGCTGAGCCTCAGTTTCTCCGTGTGGGAGATGGGGGAGACGGGGGCCAAGTGGCTTTTTTCTGAGGGTTCTGGTGAGAACAATGTGTGCTAACGCTGTGGAGCACTGAGCCTGGCCCCTGGCCCAGCCCTCCAGGGTCTCGGGGCCTGTGTCTGAATCCAGGATCTCCCCGGGATCAGGTTGAATGGGAGAGTAAGGGTCTGGGGTGGGAGGGAGCTCCTCAGCCCCCTTTTGGGCTGGGCTGCAGGGGAGCCAAGGCTGCCTGAGACTCACCGTCCTCTCGATGTCCTCTCACGAGGCACCCCCACCCCTTCTGCCTTGGTCCTGGCTGCCCGCTTCCTCCTCCTCCCTCTCCTCCTCCTCCTCCTCCTCC